GGGGCCCAGTAGGGCCACTGAGAGGGTCCTGGAGGGGGGGCCCAGTAGGGTCACTGAGAGGGTCCTGGAGGGGGGGGGCTGCTGGGTGGGAATATTAAAGGAGCTCAGCGACTGGGCGTAACGGCGAATCCATTCATTACCGCCACTGCGCCACGCGCACGTTATATTTATCCAATCTTAATATTAACAGAAATCCTCTCTCTGAGCGACGGCGCTTTACACGACACGCGCTGATTGAAAGCTGCGATTCCGGCGACGGGGGACGATAGGTTGTACGGCACGCACTCCGTCTACGGACGCCTCTTAAAGGGACACTCCAGGCACCCAGACCACTTCTGCCCATTGGAGCGGTCTGATTGCCAACTCCCACTACCCTTAACCCTGCAAGTTTTCATAAACTGCAATAATTACCTTGCAGGGTTAACTCCAGCGTCGCTCACGCTGTGTGAGGACCTCCAGCGTCGTTCAATTCCCCATAGGAAAGCATTGAAAAGCATTTTCAATGGTTTCCTATGGGGAGCTCTAATGCACGTGCGCCGCATTGCTGCGCATGCGCATTAGGCCTCCCCGGCCGGTGGGCGGGATCAGTCTCGCGCCGGCTGTCATAATGAAGGGGAGGAGCGGCGGAGGAAGAGGCAGCGACGTGGTTACTTCAACCATCACAAGCCCTGAAGTCCACTGCAGAACACGTGATGTGAGGATTAGCCTGATCTGTTTCCTAGTAATGGGGTAAACAGTTGCCTAATGCTGGGCTCCTTATTTGACCACTCTCTGCCAGTTAAAGTATATCTGTCACTTTTAAGGGACTTTACATATCTTGTAGAGGCCAAAAAATGACCTATCTAGGTGCAGAGGCGCAAGGTAAGTTTTACTTACCTTTAGCTGACACTTTGCAGCTGCCGTAATCTTTGTCCTGCATATCCTCTTCGGCTCCTGGTGCTGCAGCTGCCAGGGGCCATGTCAGTGCTGTATTTTGAAGTATATGCAAGAGTGTTTCACTGAAATCCTGCAATGCCATACGAGCCTCCATGGATTGATGCTTGAATCCAACGCTGCTAGGATTGGACAAAAGTTGGCGGCAGTGCTCTTATGAGATCAATCCACTTACTTGGGAAATACTTCCTTACTGGGACTCTCTGCAAGTCAAAAGATGACTGGTAGTAATATTTTCCTCTACTAGAACTTGCATGCTTCAATCAGGTCCATAGATCTGTTATGATGTCCCCTTTTTTGCTAATTATGTTTCTGATTTAAAATAAAAATGTCTTTATTATTAAAAAGAACACTCATGAAAACCCAAGAATGATCAAAAAAAAAAAAATTGCTGATGGGAAAACATGACCAGGAGACAGTCTGGTTTCTATACATTTTTTTTTTTTTTTTAAATGCTTAAAAAAAACACAAAAACTAGAACTCTGATATATAGGTCCTTTCTAGATAGCACAGATTTTCCTTACTGCTATCAAAGTACAAATACCAGCTTCTTATAACATCCCTCCTGTGTTCAACTCTACTCTTTTGAACCTGCAACCCCTGGTATGTTCTAGTCTTGAGCTTGCTGCACCAGACCTAGTCCTGGTTAGAGATGCATTTTTTATTCAGTATTCTTTATTATTTTAGTTTGTAGAGTAAAAAACCTAAAGACATAACTATATACAATTCGCAATATCCCATGTTGCTTCAACCATTTATGGATCAGTTTTTGGAACCTTCAGGGGTAATTCCCTCCATAACATACAAATCTCACTATATCAGACACATTAACAATTACATTTAAACCAGTCATCAAAATTGCAATGTCACCAGTAGAAAGTACACCTTGAATTAACGGGTTTAGGATGGTTGAAAACCAATAACAGTTGCGATCAACCAATAAAATTACACCTTTTAAATGTCTTCCAATTTATCTATCCATCCCTGGATAAATACACTATTCAGATTAGTCTTCTTGTTAAGCCACTTGAGTCCTCCTTCCATTCTGCACTGGAAAAGGATTTGACTCTTCAGAGATTGCCAACCTATTGTATCCTTTGATTTCCAGTGCCGAGCTAGAAGTAGATTTGTGACTACAAAAAATGGATTGCCCTTAATGCTTCTCTTTGGGATAAATCTGGCCAATTTAGGTGCAAAATGCTATTTCCATTTTCTTTTTTTTTTTAAATCTATCTTAAATTTCCCCAAGGCCTGCTGTTTATGAAATGTGGTATTCCAGAAATGTACCTCAACTTTACAGCCGCACCACTTATGTGACTATTTCTGTAATTTTATATAGATGAATTGATCAGCAAAGTGTTTTGTTTTTTCTTCCTATGTTTTTCTATTTGGTGTGCTATGGATATGTTATTGATCTGTGGTTATTAGTCATTTTGACCACCACGGGAAGGGGTATCTCCCATATAGCACCGATTACGTATTATCTGTACTAGGTGGAGTGCTCCTGTACATACTGGTATTTACTGATCCTGTGACAGTGTCACGTCTACAGGATTATTTTCTAAAGTAAGTATTGTCAGGAAATCAAAGTAAATTTCAAATTTTAGACCAAAATTGCTGAACTTGAAGAATAGCTGACTTTGATATTTTTTTCCAATTCAGCTATTTCGACCCTACATTTGAAATTCACTTTGAATTCCAAACCGTTCTGAAACTCAATTAGTGGGGTGTCCACATACTTTTGGCCATATAGTGTATACTCCTATTCTACTACTGTATCCTCTTGCTATTTTATTACCTTTGCCCAGTGGTGATCAGTTAACATATTCCCAGCTAGTACTCAGACTTTACTATGCACAGGATTAATATGTAATACATATTTTTAATTACAGGACTGGCTGAATTTGGTAACAATGAACAAGGACCGAAATATGGTGACCGAGAACATCCTGGATCTCACCATGGAGATCATCTCTCTGCTGACTGGAGAGGTGAGGGATTCTGGGGATGTCACGGTGGCATTTCTTGTATGGGGCTCTGTTTTATAAGTATTGATAAAAAGTTAGTGAAGGCTTTTAGGCAGAGATGGATTTAATTAGATGACAACTAGAGACAGATAAGGTCAATTTGATTTGTTGGTTTCACAAATAAATTTAAGTAGAGTTTGTTATTGCATGTAGATGTTGCTATTGGATAGCACATATTGCAGAGCTTCCTTAATAAAAGATGCTGTTCCACTGAGTAGGTAATTTCTTCTTCAATACATAGGATTATATTGTTTTGAAGAAGAGCCGTGAGCATGTGACAAATGGCTGTAGTCCCTGTGTGTCAGAAGTGTTCTCCAAGGCTGAGAGCTTTAGCATGGTAACCTCCTCAAACTCGCCTATACATGAAAAAAACAATGACCAGAAGATCCTGGAGCTGACCAATCAGATCATCCACCTGCTGACTGGAGAGGTGAGGCTGCTGAGAATGGGACATCATAGAGTAAAACCAAGGGATGTGTCTGGATGGTGACTGTATCATTGTGTTTGTCAGGTTCCTATAAGGTGTGAGGATGTCACTGTCTATTTCTCCATGGAGGAGTGGGAGTATCTGGAAGGACACAAGAATCTCTACAAGGACGTGATGAGGGAGACTAACCAGCCCCTCCACTTGCTAGGTAAGAAGAAATGTAACGAACAGCATGTATTTATGTATCTCTGGATTTATATAGAGTATTATGGGAACAACACCCTATAATGGTTATAGTACTAGTAGTGCCCTAGCATGTTTTTTCCCCTCCTTCTTATTGTAAGTAGTTAAACTGTATTAGGGTGCTGCTCTTAACCCCCTTTCAGCCTTCAGGAAAGTTGTCTTCTCCTTCTCAGGAGTTTCTGTTCTCTTGAGCTAAGACCGGCAGTGTAGGGCTAGTTTATTTGTATAGAACATAAAGTGATCATGCTCAGCCACCGAGTTAAGCTATGCTCCACCAGGCTTGGCCAAGGCAGATAAAAACCAAACAGAAAAATCGTGTGGTGTACTTTAATTCCTATATGTGTGAAAACCCCCAAAACAATGGTGGATATATGTACACTATTAAGGATCTTCAAAACCATGCAGGTGTATATAATCCAGGTATGTTAATTTCTTTAAGCTTTAAACACTAAAAATATACAAATAGAACATAGCATAGAATCACACAAAACATGTAGAAACAAAAACATTTATATTTCACTCACAAACAAAAAGCCATTGACAGTGCCTTAATGGGCATGTAAATAGTTCAAATAGACCTCCACTGGTGGCTGATCATTATAACCAGCAGAATTTCCAATAGTTTTTTCCTCATTTCTGTGATGGCTTCAGATCCCTCAACAGCAAGGAACAATTCTGTATATCTGTACAATTAGCCCAGGCTGGAATAAGTTGAATCGCCAAACTGCTTTACAATTCAATGTTTCATCCTCTGAGATTTTGTCAAGGAAGAACTTGTAAGTAATGCCATAATTTGCGGAATAAATTAACCAACCAATCAGTATTAAGTGGACTCCCACATGTGTTTCTAATAGAAAAATCATTATCCGCACCATGTAAAAATGCTTGAATATTCTAAATGTATTAAATATGTATATATGCATAAATTGACAGCAAATTCATCCTTTTACAAATTTGAATAAAATATATAAATATAAAATATCAACTAGACCTCATAAACTAAAATATAACTCGGTAGATAATCCAATTGATAATAAAATAATCAATTTATCCTAGTAAAATGTATGCTAGTGAAAATCATATATATAAATAAAAATGTATGCTTTTTTCACTAGGATACATTTTAGATGACACAACTTTATAATGTAATGTTAGTATTTTTGGTATTCTCTCACATGTCTCTGTGTATTCACCATCGTCATTTTATTATCCATTGGATTATCTACTGTTTTATATTTAGTGTAGTTTATGAGGTTTAGTTGATGTTTTTATTGATATATTTTATTCAGAATTGTAAATGGAAATTTACTGTAAATTTATTCATGGATATATTTAATAAATTTAGAATAATCAAGAATAATTTGTCTATTTTTTTGTAGTATCACATTTGTCTTTTAGAATCATGGATCAAATTTGGCAGCATGTTAATCCATATATTTTTCAGATTTTGTATATGCATCATAAGTGTGTGAGAGTAATGACGCTTGGTTGGAATGGGTATGTTAAATCGACTAAGTCAACGCGTATGTGCGATTTTACTCTCTCAGCTAAGAACTCTGGTGGCCATCGTTTTGGTGGGATTGAGCGCAATCTCCGGTATTGTAACCAGAGATCATCTGATTATTATAACCAGCTGAGGTGGACCACCTGGTTGAGGAATAATAGATGGGGCACTGGGAGGGAACTCCGTGTCCACACTGATCGGCAGCCTTTCAGGTTGCCGTATATGATCCCAGCAGCCATCTTCTTAGTAAGGATAATGATTTTTCTATTAGGAACACATGACGAAACAGGAAACACATGTGGGAGTACACTTTATACTGTCTGATTATTTATACCGGAATTTATGGCATTATTTACAAGTTCTTCCATGACAAATTCCCAGAGGATGAAACCGAAAGATTGTAGAGCAGTTTGGTGTTTCATCTTATTCCAGCCTGAACTACTTGTACAGATATAAAGAACTTTAGATCTTCCATCACAGGAAGGAGGAAAATAGTTTAGGACATTCTGCTGGATATAGTGAACAGTCACCAGTGGAGGTCGATTTGACCTATTTACATGCCAGTGGCTTTTTGTTTGTGAGTGCAATATTATAATTTTTTTCTGTATTTTGTGTGTGATTTAAGGCTGAGAGGGGGCACAGGGGCTATAGAAGGGGTGGGTAGTGGCTGTAGAGGGGGGACATGAGCTGACAAAACAAAAACTATTGTAAGTGTATTCCCCCACCCCTGAGGCTTACATTGGGCCAGGGAGGGGTGGGGAGGAGCCTGGAGCGGGAGCCTGCAGCCAGGGTAGTCGGTCGGCCGGCCTCTCCGCATTACGTCAGTGTCATGATTACTATATGACCCAACACGCAGAACTGTGTAACATAATTATAACCCACAATGAACAAAATAGCGTATACCGGGCCTTAGAATGGCCGGACTTAACGTAAATTAGAATGGTCAAAATATTAGCCGAGATCAGGGTCACTGGAGGCACAACTAGGAAGCAAGCCAAAGTTCAAGGATACCAGAATGCGGGAAAGTCAAATACCAAAAAGAGCAAGAACGCACTCTCTGACAACCAACTAGTGGAAACCACGACAGGGCA